GGAGGCAAAATCTACCTCCAAGCCTGAAGCCTGTAGTGTAGTGCTCCCCACCTTGCTACTATGCCAGGCCCTCTCAAGTGGATCCACATAGTTGTTGGATCCTATTGCCCCATCCCCAGCTCACCTCTGTGCTGGGCTATGTGGCTGCACAGAGAAACCTCCACACTTTCCCCACCTCCCCTCCGCAAACGTAAGGGCTGCCAAAAGTTCCCTATGCCACTCCACTAGCACCTTGACATAGGGCTTCAGTGCTGCAGAAGGCCTTCCGGTTGCCCTGCACACCAGGGTGACTTTCATCTTAAGTGTTTGCTGTGTGAGATGTTGAACTAGGTCAGCCCAGAACTTGGCAGAGCTTGTTCAGCACTCACATGGTTTTAAACAAGTCTCAGAAATTGCTGCAGGCCTATTGGAAGGCAAAAATCACATCAGCCCATCCTGGTTCCGCCTTGTCTAGTGCTCCTAGTAACTAAGCGGCATTTTTTGTCCTAGATCTAGGGTGCAATCACCCCTAGGGGATGTTCTTAGTCAGCATGAAACCTGAATAACTCATATGAAAGCACAATGCTGCCAGAGGGACAACAACAACATAGTTGTAACTTACATCTTACCCAGTTCATGAACTGCTTCTGAGTTCATTGAGAAGTACATTAAAGGGGAGGCAGTCAAGTTTAGGTCTGTGGTTTACAGCAAGGATTTACAAAAAAATCTCACATGTGCAGACACGTTCTCCTGAAACGTCTCTATATAAGTTGTCACTACAAAGATAACTTTTGTATTTAAAGCGGCCTGTGCACCGTTGTGAACCAGTACACAACAAAACTCAGCTAGAAAAGTGAAATGAACTATAAACAGAAAGACAACGTGAGTGAGGTAATAGCTCTTTATTGGATCAACTTCTGCTGGTGGAAGGTGCAAGCTTGCGAGTTACACACAGCTCCTTGTCAGGTCAGGGGAAGGAAACAGAGGGTCTGAGCTAAATACAAGTTGGAACAGATTGTTAAGCAGAAGGGGTAACACATGTTGGAGGTGGTCACTTGAAAAGTTAGGGGCTAGACTGTTATGCATAAAGGGTTTGAAATGGGCAATTAAGGATAGCAGGCAGTGAGGTGTGTCACAAATTGTTGCAATGAGCCATAAAACCAGTGTCCATGTTAAGCCCAGGCTTTTGAAGGTATAGTGCAACTTTCCTTTGAGGACAAGTATTGAAAGATCAGATATGGAGTGATCACTTTGTGAAAAGTGTTCACCACGGGTGATGTGATGTTTGTGTCTTTTATCATTGTTCTGTGTGAGTTCATTTGAGAGCATAGCGATTGTCTGGTTTCATCCACATAGTTGTTACTGGGGCATTCGATGCACTGTATGAGGTGCACCATGTGTTTTTATAAGCATGGGTAGGACCCATGGATCTTGAAAGGTTTGTTGAGGGGGTGCTGATCATTGTAGCAGTGGATATATATCTATAGGTTTTACATCTGTTGTGCAGGCAGGGCCTGGTGCCCCTTTGAGTTAGTGTATCCTGGTCTGTGGGGAATTTGCTTCTGATGATGAGCTTGGCAACGTTAGGGAGTTGTTTGAACGCCAGAAGAGAGGGTTCAAAAGAAGATTTTTCAGGATATCAAAACGCTTAATAATCTGTCTCAACTTGTATTTAGTTCACTCTGCTTCCTGGCCAAATTTACCTAATTAGGTTCTGCCTACCCAAAATTCCCCCTGCAGTTCCGTGTTGCTTAAGCTTATGTCATGTGAAATGCCCCAAGGCTTTGCTTCTGTTTAATGTGCATATGAGGAGGCTTCTGGGAGGGTTAGTAAGGAGACATGGTCTACATTGTCTCCAATACACTGGTGATACCCAGCTCTGAGTCTCCATAACATTCATCTCTTGCTTTTGTAGTGAATGGTAACATACATAAGCCAGCAGAAGAATATAGAATGTCCAGGGAGATTGAAGTAACAGATTTAAAAGTAGCCATACTTCAACAAAAAAACTTCAAAAACAGACTTCAAAGAAAAACTGCAGAACTAAAATTCATTTGCAAATTTAACACCATTAATTTGGGCTTGAATAGGGACTGGGAGTGGCTGGCTCACTACAAAAGCAACTTTCCCTCTCTTCGTATTGTCACCTTCTCATCAGTTATTGGGAGTGGACCACATCCACCCTGATTGAATTGGCCCTCTCAACACTGGTTCTCCACTACTAAGGTAACGCCCTTTTCTTCATGTTGTGACAGACCCAGACCAGTGGGGTACAGGAGCCTGGTAGAGGGCAAATATACTGGTCACTGGATGAGTAGTTTTCTGTTCCCTGAGTGACCAGAGCAGGGGCTGCACTAGAGTAATCAGGAACCTGCTAGAACCAGTTAAGGCAGGCAGGTTAATTAGGACACCTGGAGCCAATTAAGAAGCTGCTAGAATCAATTAAGGCAGGCTATCAGGGCACCTGGGTTTTAAAAAAGGAGCTCACTTCAGTTTGTGGTGCGAGTGTGAGGTGCAAGGAGCTGAGAGTGAGAGGGTGTGTTGCTGGAGGACTGAGGAGCACAAGCGTTATCAGACACCAGGAGGAAGGTCCTGTGATGAGAATAAGGAAGGTGTTTGGAGGAGGCCATGGGGAAGGAGCCCAGGGAGTTGTAGCTGTCATGC